TGTCTCCTCTCAGTCTTTTACCGGCTGTCCCGGTAGTAGTTTTGGCATTAGTTAATGCACAAGCTTTGCAGTTCTTTATGACTTCTAGAATAATTTTATTTAAGTTTAGTATCCGAAATTCAGAAGTGTTCATGAGGGCTTTTAATTTTTTTTCTCCTAAGTGAGTCAGACAGTGTATTTGTTTTACATATTCTCTACCTTCTTTTTGAGGGAGGACCTTTTTATTCTCATTGTCTATTATTGTACCTTCTGAGTCCTTGTTATTTAACCCTAAGCGGGAAAGCTCTTGTTGATCTTCCTTTGAATATTGAAAACTGTCAAGTTCACAGGTGTTAGTAGTTACTAGCGTTGGGATTTTTTCCGCTACTGACTTGGCAGCCTCGTCCGCCATTCGGTTTCCTTTTGCTATTACATCTTGAGTCCGTTGGTGGCCCGGACAATGCATAACAATAGCATTTGATAACCTCTGTATTCTGTGCAATCTCGGGTTTGTGGAATGGGAAGGAGGGGAAATAGACCTCTTCAGCAAGATTGGCTAAGTGTCTTCAAATTTCTTAGCATAGACAAGGATTCATCTGTTTTCTAAAACACCTCAACTTAAATTCTATCACTTTCCTACCACGCATTTATCCCAACACCCCACCTACTGCAAGCTCACAGAGCAGAAACTGAGTTAGGCATCGCAGGAATTAGGGGTAAAGGAGGAAGTTGGGTCACCCAAGAATAACCATATACTCTGCTCTCCCTGAAAACATCAAAGCAGGCCCAGGTGGAAAACTCAAAAATATTTAACAAAGACTAGATATTTTAGTTCCTCAATTAAGACTGTAAGTCAATACAACCAATTTCTATCAAGTTGACTCCAACTCATGTTCATCTCAAATTTTTCAGAGTAGAAACTGAGTCTACTCAGTGTTTTCAATGGCTGGATTTTTTGCAGAATATTGTCCCACTCTTTCTTCCAAAATGTCTCTGGGTGAACTTGAATTTCCAATTTTTCAATTTGCAACTAAGAGTGTCAATTGTCTGCCCTATCCAGGAACTCTGAAGAGATCACAGACATTTTTATTCTCTGAGAGTGCCCAGAAAAGACATGGGATTCTTCAGAATTTATATCAAAGGGCAGAACATGGGCTAACCTCACTGAAAGATTCCAATGGAGGGTGGAAAACAAAAATAAAATTTCACTTAGGCTTGCATGCCTAAGACCTTTGGGTTTAAGAAGAGACTTACATATGAAGGCCAAATTCATACAATGCATAATGAAATTAATGTTTCATTTGAGTTTATAATTTACCATCTAGGACAAAAAAAAAAGAATTCTGTTTTGTTTTGGCTTGCTACCCAAAATGTAATGAGCTTTCTGAGTACAGAACACTGAATTGTTAACTTTGATGAACTGAAGCCATCTAGAGATGCATCCATAATTTCTACAATTTTTAAATAAACTAAATCTGCATGCACACGCACAAAACCGCCAAGCTTTGTGCCAGGAACAATCACTTTTCCCCTTTTTTCCAAAGGAGTCATAAAAGGAGTTAAAAGAGATTTTAATGCAATGGTAATGTATCTGTTTATAACCCTAGTTTTAGCTTTAAAATTATATTAACCCACTTAAAGCAGAATGAGATATATCATTGAACCCACACAATGATTTGCAAATGTTCCTTTGGTTAAAATTAATAGACTTGTTATTGAATATTACCAGGCTGAATCACAGTCACTAAAAGCATACCTTACACTAAAATTTGTGAATGTTTAAATGAAAATTAATAGACCTATTGTCAAATATTATTAAATTGAATCACAGTCATGAAAAAACATATAAAACATTATATTTAATTAGAAAAGCAGAGTTGTACTTATTGGCAATATTTCATATGTTAAAAAATAATGATTATATAGACAAGAAACAGATGTCCATAAGAAATTCTATAAAATAACAGCATAGAATGAAAGGAATCTAATTAAAGAAAGCCTCAAAATTTCTACTTTTTAATTCACCCATTGCTAGTAAGAAGAGATAGGTAAACAAATCATCACAAATACATTTAATCTAAATATCCATCATTCTTTGTCCTCTTAGGTTGGAAATACATCTTTCATCAAGCCACATCCACTGTCCCTCACTGCTTTCAGTCAACCCCAGAAAAAAGGCATAAACAGCCAGCCCTGTTTTCACAGGAGCCTCTGTTTCATGTCTCTGTGTTTTGCCATATCATTCTAATACCTGTTTCTGCCACCTCCACATCTTGGTAGTAAAACATGAGGTGACGGAGGCCTCCAGCAACAAAAAGCTGGTCGATTCTTTCAATCTAGGAAATAGAAGAGATAAGTTAATAACATTGTTCTGTTTCACAAACCTTATTTAAAACAGCCATAATACTATGGTTAGTATTGTTATATATTCTCAAATGTGTTCCACTCATAAATCCTTTGCCATAAGGTTGGTTCTGAATAAGAGTAACTATGTAGGACAAAGCAGAACTGCTCCATAAGGGGTCCAAGGCTGTAAATCTTTATGTAAGCAGATTGCAGTATCTTGTTCCCATGGAATGGACTAATAGGTATGAACTGCCAACTTTTCAGGTAGGAACAAAGTGTTGAAAGACCCCCGAACCGATGGTCCTGTCCCGAGCGGACGGCAAAGACCCAAGACTCCAAGACACCGGCTTGATGCAACAGCAAGAGGAGAGGTTTATTGCGGAGCTCCGGGCCGACACGTATCTCTCGCAGGAGATAGAGGTGTCGACCCTGAGCAAACAAAGTTGGCTTTTTTTATACACTTTAGGGGGATACAACTGGGTATCAGCTTCTCATTGGGTGATGAAAGCACAGTTTGAATTCATTGGTTCAGTGTTCGCTCATGGTTTACACAGCATTTTTGCACGTAGCACATGTGGCAGTCACGTAGCACATGTAGCAGCTAGACAGATCTTAAGTCATTAGTATATTTGCCCAACCTTTGTGGTTAGCTATTCCCTGGAACATTAACTATAGGGTGGTTTCACAAATTCTTAAACATACAATGAGTTCAAACTCCAGGGCAGTGGAAAAGCACAAGACACATTGGTTATCAGTCGGGAAACAAAGGCACATGGGTTATCAGTTGAGAAACAACATCTGTTTGTTTGCCCTGTCCTGTAGTTAGCCATTCTTGAAATACTGTTGCCTTGAGATCAGACTTTTCTTCCTGGAACACTGGGTGTGGGGCTGTACCCGGGACAATGGAAAAATTCCTGAGTTTAACTTAGCTGAGAACTATAGAAACCTGAGTTTAATTCAGCTGAGAACTATAGGGGCTATTTTAATTTTAATCTTTCAGTGTTTTAACAACTGCACTCAAGGGGTTCTTTCTGATTCATTTCTCTTCATTTTTTCACAGTTGAATTGGAAACTACTCATACCTGATCCTATAAATTTCACTTGAGGAGATTGCCCATCTTTCTCTCTCAGAGTCTTCGGTAGATTAGAAATGCCAGAGAGGCTCAGTCTTTGAGTTGGCAGTGCAACTCTCTAGGGCCTATGCCCTACAGTTTGTGTCACAATATTACTTACATTTGATCCCATTGTTTCACCCAGTGTCAATCTTCTTTCTTGAGAATCTTCATTTTTCGTGTATTATAAATCAAAACTACCTAACACAGATGCAAGGAATGTACATATTCACTGTACAAAAATAATTAGCTGACAATAAGCGACCATTTCAGGAAGTAGCACACTATCGAGAACCAATGGCAAAGAAAGAAGAGGTTCAAACTGCACTGAAGGCATGGACAAAAAATAAGGGCCCAAGGACTGATGGAATACCAATTGACATGTTTCAACAAACAAATGCAGTCCCAAACATGCTCCCGTTCCTATGCCAAGAAATTTGGAAGGCAGCAAACTACTCAATCAACTGACAGGAGAAGGTGCATATTTGTTAACATTAAAAAAAATAAATGGTGATCCAGAGACAAAGGAAGACATTAAGCTGCAGGAGAAAAGGTGAGAGAGGCGAGGCGAGCCTCTCTGCCCAGAGTGAGCAGTCACGATTTCTTGTGGGAAAACAAGACTGTGGCTTTGCTGGAGATATAGGTCCCTCCATTCGAGGATTCTGGCCTTCATGACTGTGGGGCCACCCAGGGCCAAAAAGAACAAGGGACTTCGGGACACAGAGCTACAAGCAGGGGAAAGACTTTCTCAGCTCTCTGTAAGAGGGAGGGCTGACTTAAGACCCCTGTGCACACAAGCTGCTTGAGTTGGCACCCTGATCGCCGATCTTGTGCCACTCTAGAGACAAAGGAAGACCTTAAGATTCAGGACATGAGAAACTACTTGAGTAGAGTACCTTGTCTTACACACTCAGCCACTTCATACACAAAGAAGGACAAGAAAGTTTGTAATAAGGGACAACATCAAGGTGAGATTCCTACAGGGCTGCAGTGCAGAACAGAGAGCCTCAAGGACTTTAGGAAAAGCAAATTTTTCCCAAAAAGGACTTTCATTAAAGTGAGTGGTTCACCCCTTTGATTGACCATATTAGCATGGCAATAAATAAATAACATCACAAAGGCAAGAACCACCAACAGCTTAGGCAGACCAAATAGAAATGGCCTAACATTTATCCAGAATAATTTCACATAATGTTGAGAAAGCAACAGGCAGCTTAAAGCACTGTGCTGAAAGAATATTGCAGACTTCATGAAAACCTCAGAGTCAAGAAGGCAGATGATATATGTTAATATGAAGTCATTTGAACAGCTACAAATCAAAGTACAAATGATGGAAGAAACAATAGAAGCCACAAATAAAGGGAATAATAACCCACAGGTAGAAAACCAGAAGAAATGTATTGATGAGGAGTTATCTGAAAAGCTATGGAAGAAGTTGCAAATGATAGATGAATCAATGGAAACCACTAAGAAAGTAAATGTTCTACAGACACAGAGCCAGAAGAAATACATTGATGAGAAGGAACTTGCACAACTATGGATGAAAATGCAGAAGATGGAAGAAATAATAGAAACTATAGATATAGAGGTACAAGAACTTAAAAAATCATCCCAAGATAGAGAGGGCACAGCCAACACCATACTGGAAATAACAGAAAATCATGAAAATGCAATCCAGAATATTAACACTGAAATAGCAGAAGTATCTAACATGCTTGAAGGACAAAAAAAGTAGAATAGAAGAGATAGAATAGTCAGTGAGCTAGAAGAAAAGAACCTCAGAGGAAACATACTGGAAGAAAAATCAGAGATTAGGCATAAAGAAAACATTAGAATTACATGGGATGACATCAAAGGGAATCACATATGTATGATTAGAATTCCAGTATATGAGAGGGATAGAGAAATCACTGAGAATATTGTGGAAGAAGTACTAGAAGAAACTTCTCAGGTATTATGAAGAACGAGGAAATCTACATTTAGGAAGTTCAGCAAACACCAAATAGACTAGACTAGGAAAACATCAAGAACTATCATAGTTAAATTCTCCAAGATAAAAGATAAGGATAGAATACTGAAAGCAGAACAAGAAAACCAGAATGACCAACAAAGGAAAAGCAATTAGACTAAGTTCTTATTTTTCAGCAGAAATAATGTGAGTTAGAAGACAATTGGATGGCATATACAGAAAGTTGAAAGAAAACAAATGCCAACCGAGGATCCTGTACTCAGTAAAGCTCTCCATAAAATATGAAGGAGAAACTACATCCTTCGCAGAAAAGAAGGCACTTAAGGAATTTGTGAAAACAAGATCAAATCTGTAAGAACTTTTAAGGGATTTTTTTTTTACACAGAGACACCAAAGGAAAGTGGATGGATCCTCATAACAAGAAACAACAGAAAAAGGAACAGAGCAAAACAGTAATAATAAAACTTGACCTGTCAATAATCACAGTTAATGTGAATGGAAATTAAATAAATGCACCAATAAAGAAAAAAAAGAGTAGCAGAGTGGATAAAAACCAAAGCCCATCAATACATTGTCTACAAGAGACACATCTTAGAAATAAAGAGAAAGGCAGACTCAAAATCAAAGACTAAGAAAAATATAGCAACTAAATGGCATCCACAAAAAAGCAGGAGTGGAATATTAATCTCTGATAAAACAGGCTTCAGAATGAAAACCACCAAAAAAGATAAGTAAGGGCACTATATAATGATTAAAGGTATGGTAGATCAAGAAGCAGTTGTTGCAGAAGATCAAGGAACGCAGCTTTCAGTATGGATTGCATCTCAATATCAAGGGAAAAAAAAGATTTTTACTACTGGGCCTATAGGCAGTGTCATGATGGAGATTGAAACTGTGAAAAGCTTCATCTTCCTTGGATCCAGAATTAACTCCCTTGGTATAGGCAGTCAGGAAATAAGGAAATGTATTGCACTGGGAAAATCTGCAGTTGTTGTTGTTGTTGTTATGTGCCATCGAGTCGTTTCCGACTCATAGCGACCCTATGCACAACAGCTCTAAACCCTGCTCTATCCTGTGCCAACCGCACCGCCTCTGACACACCCATCAACATTACCCCAGTCACCGAATCAATCCATCTCATAGAGGGTCTTCCCCTCCTGCGCTGTC